ATGAGTGTGGGAGTGAATGAGTGAGTGTATGAGTGAATGAATGAGTGTGTGAGTGAATGAGTGATGGCTCTGTGGTCCCTGATGGGACAGAGAAGCCCTCGGACACCTGTTCTTTCCCTTGGGAGCATCTTAGGTCAGGCATTGGGAGATCGCCATCGGGAGGGTCAGCGGGCGCTGGCCTACCCGAGAACAGGCAGGACAGGTGCCTGGGGCCGTGGGAGAGCTGGGGGGCGACTGCTGGGGGTGGGGGGTGAAGGGTAGCTTGGTGGTGGGTCTTGCAGTGAGGGCTGGGGTCCGAGGGGCGGCCGGCATGGGGACTGTGACTTCACACGGGTGTGGGCAGAGGACTGGTGGGGGTTTTAACAGGAGGGTGGCTCCCTCTGGCTGCTTTGATGCAGCCCAGGGAACAGTGGCCAGGGGGAGGGCGAGGGCGAAGACGAAGGAGCCAAGTGAAATTGTGGGTCAGACACAGGGTGAGATTCTGCTATTCGAGGTTCCTCTTTTGGAACCCCCTTTTTTTTTGGATTTGCATCTAAGATCCCTTTGTCTACTTGTATGCCAGCCAGGCCTCATATTCTCACACAAGAGAATACCAACCACAGACGCCCCCCCCAGGCTCAAGAGCATTCTCCCAGCCCCTGCCCCTCCTCCCACCAGACCCCCACAGTGATCTCTCTCCGGTTACTTTGACCCGAGTCCTGTCCCCTCACCCTGTGTGATGTGAGGGGCCTCCAGGACTCTCTGAGTGGAAAGGTCATGAGATGTCTTCCCACAGACGGTTAAGTGTTTTTCCGCCTTTACCTCCATGGTGGGGTGGGTCCCAGTCATTCGGGAACTCTTCCGAATTCTGGGGTGGAAGTGGGCAGGGATGGGCCACTTTTAGGAGCCAGCTAAGTAACGTTCCAAAACCGAACAACTCACACGACCGTGCAGGGCAGGGTAGACCTGCCCTGTGGGTTTCCTGGATGGTAACTCTTGACAGGGGTAGAAGGCCTCACTAGGAAGGCTGACGGCGGATACTTAGGGAGCACCTGGAGCACCTACGGGACTTTGAGGGCATCTGTCTATGAGCTTCTCCGGGCGTGCCCCAGTGTATGAGCCAGTGCTCGCTCCGGCTGTGCCTGGGGGAAACGGAAGCGTGATGTCAACTGGCCGATGTCACGAGCCAGGTGAGGGAGCCGGGGCGTGGGTCTGGACATTGACAGTAGAACTGACAGGACTTAGGGGTGACCAGTTCGGGGCTGAGGAAACATGACTAACTCCGTTGCCCGCAAAACTTGGAACCAGGCCTTGGGGGTTCTCGAGCAGGGTGACCCCTGACTGAAGCCCTGCGTCTTCCTCCGGGTCCCCCACCCACCATGGGACAGGACGAGTCTTTTCACAGGGTCTTTCTGTGGCCACCCCCCCTACCGGAAGCTCGTCCGCCCCTTCTCCTCCATGAAGCTGCCCACACCACGGTCTGACCGTGCCTGTGAAGCCACCCTACCTGGCAAGACCACAGCCCTCTCTGGCTGGCCCGCAGGTGGGCAGGGCCTCGGGCACTGTCCCACGTGGCAGCCGGTCTGGGTGGGATGGCCCCAGGGTGTGGGCTGGGATCCAGCTGTGTGACCTTGGGGATCCTCTGCCTGGACCCTAATTGCCCTGAGTGTCACTGCCGCGGGGGTGGGGGTGAGGCCGGAGGAGGGCTGATCGGCCAGCCCCTCCGAAGCTGATCAGGGACTGGAACTCTGGCTGCGGGCCCCTGTGTATTTACACCCCGACTCCCAGCGGAACAGGCTGTGGGCGCTGAGCCCCCCCATTGGGTGCTGAGTGGGGGTGATGGCGTCACCCACCCCACTGTCCTCCCCTCCCCTCCTATCTCGGGCTGGAGGCCCACTTGGCACCAGGCCAGGAGCCCACGCACGCACGGCACAGCCTGCACCCTGCACCGAGCGACAGATGGGAAAGTGGGGCGGGGAGCGGGGATTCGTGTTCCTGGGACTCAGACTTGGGGTGGGAAGGGGGCCGTACCAATCCCTCCCTGCCTTCCGGGGCGGCTGGGCTGGCAGCGCCCCCAAAAGAACAGCTTGCGGCCGGCCCCCTCAGCCCACCTCCCAGAGGCGTCTGTGTAAATAGCCCTGTGTCCTGTTCATTCCTGACTGGTCCCTCCTGCGCAGGGAGGGGGCACTTTGCTAGAGAGCGAAGGCACGGCTTTGTCCAGTCCCGCCATTGTAGAAAACACCCCAGGACACCTGCATGGGGTTCCCCATCTGTGAAACAGGACGGGGGTAGTGAGGGGCCCTGAGAACACCGAGCGACAGGGAGGAAGTGGAGGCCCCTGTGTAGGCAGGCGCGCGGTGCTGATCACCCAGGAAACGCTGCTTGGGCTCCTTCCAGTCCCCAGTGGACATGTGCCCAGTGAGCTGGTGGACCCACGATGTTTCTGGAAGCCGGCCATCGCCTGTGGGCCTGCCGTGTCCTGCGAGCTGACCCCCAGCCCATGTGGCCGGAGCTTCCGAGGTAGCGTGACATTATCACAGGTAACAAGGGCCAGTCACCTCCCTCTCTTGCATGTGTTGGTGGACGGAGGGAGGGCCCTTGTCCCATTTCCCAGAAGGCAGCACTGAGGCTTCGTGGGTCACTGGTGGGGGGGGGGCTGGAAGGAACTGCAGAGAGAACAGAGATGAGTGGACCAGGAATAAGGCCTGAGAACCCGGCTGGTCACCCACCGCACCCGTCTCCACCCCTGCCTGGTGGTCAAGCGGACATCAGCCTGGGTTGTAGCTGTGACCTCCCATCTGAGATGTGGGCAGTGATAAAGGTGATCTGAGCCCCCTGCCTCCTTCCCAAAGCCAGCCTGGACCTCTCCATGAGTGGTACCCCAGTGTACCCCATGTCACAGCCTGGACAGGGGAGGTGGGTCCTCTGCCCCTTGCTACCGCCTGCAGATGGACAAATGGGGCAGGGCAGCAGGGAAGGGCTTTCTGAAAACAGCTACTCAAGAGTCCTGCCTGCCCCTGCCAGTGCATGCATGCGAGTTATCACTCACACACACACAAACACACACAATGAATGTTTGAGCTGGTACCTGACCCGCAGCCCTTTGAGGAAGCCACACCTTTCCCATCTGAGCCACCCAGCAGAGCTAGGGGGCAGACAGGGCAGAGATGGGGAAGGGCCCCCCAAGGGGCTGTAGGGCAGACCTGGGAGAGGCCGAGAGATGAGTGACTAAGCGCATGGTTGGAGAGTCAGACTGCCTGAGTTCAAACCCTGTCTCTGCTGGACTGCTCCAGGTGGGATGGGGGTGACTCTCACCCAGGCTCCCTGCCTGTGAAATGCCTCATGGGAACATCAGCAAGGCGCCTACCGGGGCTCAGACCACCACTGAGAGCACCCCTTCAGGGCTTCCCACCACTCCAAATGCTGAAACCCTTAGCCATGGGCCAGGTCCTGGGCCAACCCCATCATTTAACCCAGCCCCGCCAGTGGGCAGTCCCTGCCTCATTTTGTTTAGAGGAAGAATGATGCCCTTGCACCCCCTGTAGAACAGCAGAGACACGGGGCCCACCCCCGGGTTCTCCCCCCACCCCCCACTGCTCAGCCCAGGCCACTTTCACTACTGCCCAGTGCAAGAAGGGACTGAGGCTGAGCACAGGACACCTCCAAGCAGGAGAAGCGCCTATCCCCTGGTCACATGGTTAGGAAAGGGTCAGATTAGTTCAGGATCTCTCCTGCCGCTGCCCAGAACCAGGCGAGGCTGGAGAGGCGCTTCATCAAGCCCGAGGGTCGGTCTGTGCTTGGGAAGTGTCTTCCGGGCTCGGGGTGGGGTTGGGTTTCAGCACCTGGGACAGTGCTCAGGCTAGCCGCCGGCAGAACCGCCAGCGTTTCCTTCAGTTGCGCAGAGGGTCGCTGTGGGTCAGAACCGACCCGATGGCAATGAACAGCAGGACTGTGCCAGGCTGCGAGGCCAGTCCGTGAAACCCGCCTGCTGCTCCCATAGAACCCCTTCCCCGCCCTGGAGAGCCCCCGAGGGCCAGAAGCAACCCGACGACAGTGGGTTTGGGTTTGAGGTTTGGGGTTCAGGGCAGTGCCAGGCACATAGTCTGTGCACCATGAATGAATGTGAGAATCCAATGAGATCATGTCTGGGGCCTAAGCTGGCAGCGGGGCCCAGGGCAACCCCCCTCACCCCGCCCCCCGGCCTCTGGGGGCTGGGAGCATTGACTCCTTCATCAGGGAAGGAAAGAGGAAGCCAGAAGGAAGGAGACACTTAATTTGGCTCCCAGGAGCTCAGTGAATTATTCATCTCCTACTAATGGCCCCATGACGTGTCCAGCAGAGACTGTCCCCTCCAAGATTCTAGACCCATGGCTTCCTCCTCCTCCTGGCCTTTGCCCAAGTTCACACAGCAAGCTGGTTACAGAGCTGGTCGTGAACATTGGGCTATCTGATCCGGAAGTCTGTGGTCCGATCCTGGAACCACCGTATGCTGGGGGCCTGTCTAGGAAGCCCCTGGTTGTCCTGGCACGTGGCACTTCTGTCTTAGAGAAGCCTGCCAGGGGAAGGGGCAAAGGCAAGACAGTCCACCCCCTGGAGGACCTGCTGGCGTCCTGCCTTCCAGCCACGCAGGACAAGGCAGTGGCTCTCCACCCCACTGAGACAGTGGAACCACCCACATGGGGCTTTGGTGGCACTCCAGGTCTGCCCCTCCTACCCCTCCCCTGCACCCCCCCATCACAGCCTGAGATGTCCCTGAGGGTGGACACCGGGTCCGTGTCTGCTCAACTGCTACCAGCCAACTAGCCAGCTGCCGTCACATTGATCCTGACTTGTGGAGAACCCCTGTGGGCCATGGGCGATTCCCCGGCTGGATTTTCACAAGCAGATGGTCAGGCCTTTCTTCCAAGGCACCTTGGGGAGGGGGTGTCTCCTCGAGCCTCCAACCTTGCACTGGGTGGATCCTCTCCCCCCAGACCCGAGTACACCACCCAGTGCTGGGCAGCCCAGAAGCTCCCGGTGGCTGAAGTAGAAATGACCCTGCCTTCTCTCTGCCCCCCACCCCATTATGCCTGTCGGGAGTCACCTGGGACGTATCCAGCCCCCAGCTTCTTTCCATCCTCCCCCCTCAAGACCTCACATGCCCCCTCTCTCTCTGTCCCACGAGCAGCAGGAGCTCCCGACCCACGTGAACCACTCGGCTGCCCCGGCCCCCGAGATGCCCACCACCCTGCACTCCAAGATGGACGAGCTGGAGGGGCGGCTGCTGGCCGAGGTGCTGGCTCTGGAGAAGGAGCGCACGGCCCTGAGTCACAGCGGCCACCGGCAGAGGCAGGAGGTGGGGAAGGAGCTGGATGCACTGCAAGGCCGCGTGGCCGAGCTGGAGCATGGTGAGTCCCAGACCGGAGAGGGCAGGCTATGTCCTATATCCTTGGTCCTTCAGACTGGCCCAAGGCTAACACTCAAAGGGGCCCGGAGAAGAGGCTGCGGAGCCTAGAAGGGAAAGAGAAGTCCGGGAGACGATCCGCATTATCAACAGCTACCACTCTTTGGCTCGTAGTACGTTCCAGAACTGGCCAGCAGTTCTGTCTCCACAGCCTCACGGGCCCATGTGAGTATGACCCTCCTGTCACCAGGGAGGAAATGAGGCTCAGAGAGGCCAGGTAACTTTATCAAGTTCACAGTCAGTCCCCAGCAGATCTAACCCTCAACCCAGGTCTGTCTGACTCCAGGGTCACAGCTGGAGACACCACACAACACAGTGAGGAGTTTGTCGTTTGGTCCACACCAGGCCTGTCGACGCTGGGCGTAGCCAGAGAAATGTGGTGTGGTGGACAGTGGTGAACCAGCATCAGGAGGCTTGGCTCCTGGCCCCCCCTACCTGTCCCTGGCCTACTCCTGACCTTGGCAGGTCACTTCCCCTTCCTAGGCCTCGGTTTTCCTCACCTGAGAAATGGGGTTTAGGACACCTGGGATCCAAGATCTCCCAGCCCTGACACAGGGAAAAAAGGGACAGCCCTGGGGAGGAGAGCCGTCAAGTGGATTGCGTTAGAGGTAGAGCAGTTTGGAGGGAGGGAATCCAGGAGGACTTCCAGAAGGAGGTGGAGCTCTGCTGACTATTGAAAGCAAAGGTGGGGAAGAAAATTCTGGCATCAGGAAAGCCATGGCAGGGGCCTGGATGTAGAGCAGGGGCCTCGTGGGTCCTGTGGCCAGCTACTGGACCGGAGCACAGGGCCGGGAGAGGCAATTCGATGCCTACCCAGGCCTTCTGGGTGAAGTGACAAAAGGTCCAAGCCCCATCTCGCTTCACTTTGTCTTCTAGAGGGGACCGGGGAAACTCAAGGGGCAGAGGCGGCAGAGGTGGGTGTCTGTGTGCCCACCCTTCTTGCGGCTCAACTTCCCCATCTATGAAATGAGTTCAAAGGGGCAGTGGCCGAGCCCCTTCCTCTCTGTCCAGGTGGCATCCCCTCCATCCTGCCCCAAGCCCGAAGCAGGCCTGCGCCCCCTGGACCTGCCAGCCCCTGACCTCAACTACCAGCTGGGTCGGAGTACACCTGGCTGGTTCTTACCTTTTCAGGAACGGGGAGGTGCCTAGCAGATGGACTCCAATTACAGGAGGTTGGAGGTGGGGGTCCTGGGTGGATCCTCTCCTCCAGAAGCCAGGTCTCTCCAATCTACCCCCCACCCCTCAAGAAAGCTCTTAGAATCCAGATTTAGAATCCTGGGAGCTACCTCAGAGACCAGGAACATGGCCTCCAGATTGTTTCGTTCAAACCCCAACTAGCTGTGTGATCCTAAGAAGATAGCTTGGCCTCTCTGTGCCAAGGGGTGTTGCAGAAGCCTGCGTGCATCATAGGATTGGTACCAGGATTAGTGAGTGACCATCTACATGAGCCCATAGAACAGGACCTGGGGAAGAAAACACTGCTCCCTCCAGTCCCTGCCCCATCCGAGTCCATGCCGACTCCCAGCCGCCCCAGACGACAGGGTAGAACTGCCCCTGTGGGTTTCCAAGGCTGGGACTCTTTACAGGGGCAGAAAGTTCCTCTTTCTCCCAGGGAGCTGTTGGTGGGTTTGAACTGCTGACTGGCCTGGCAGTTGGAGCCCAATGCATAACTCGCTAGGCCACCAGGGATCCTGCCCACAGAACTTGTTAAATAAGTAGGGATGGACTAGAGAATGTGGCATTAATATTGTTATAAAGTCATATGGTTTTAATATTTTTATAAGGTCACATGGCTGGTAGGAGGAGCCCTGGGGGTATAGGGACTACAGGTTCGGCTGCTAACTGCAAGGTCAGCAGTTCGAAACCACCACCGCTAGTGAATGCTGGAAGCAGAATCCCAACCCAGGACATCTCAGGTCCAGGCCTGTGTTAGTCTGGGTAGACTAGAGAAACAAATTCAGAGATGCTCTTATGTGTGTAAGAGAGAAACATCCCAGCCCAGTCCAGATTAAGTCCATAAGAAGTCTGACACCAGTCCATAAATTCCTCTTTGACTCACGCAGCACATGCAATGATGCCGAATGCAGGAAGGGCACAGGCTGGTAGGTGGAAGGTCCAGTGGATCCAGTCAGTGGTGGTGGACGCATCTCCAGGGCTCTGGCTGCCATCAGCGTGGCTCCATGTGGCTCTTCAACAGGAAGGTCCAGCAGAGAGTGTGTGTCCCTCCTCCAGAAAGGAAGAGAGGGGGTTCCCAGAATCCTCATGATTAGGCCAGACCCACAAGGAGACAACTTCGGGCTGTGACCTGCCTGACAAGCTAGACTCCACCCCTTCATTCTTTCATCAACTTGACCTGAAATTGTGTAGCTATCACAAGGCCCCTTGTGGTCTCACCTCACCCCAGCACCCAGGCAGCGAGGTGGATGATGGGAAGGAGCCAAGCCTGGAGCGGGTGCCCAGACGTGCCTGGCTCCCATTCTGTGCATTTGTCCACCTGCCCTCTGTGTCCACTGACCCCCCCACATGTCCACCTTGATGTCCTCCGCAGGGTCCTCTGCCTACAGCCCGCCGGACGCCTTCAAGCTCAGCATCCCGATCCGGAACAACTACATGTACGCGCGCGTGCGCAAGGCCCTGCCGGAACTCTACGCCTTCACCGTCTGTGCATGGCTGCGGTCCCGCTCGGGCGGCACTGGCCAGGGCACCCCCTTCTCCTACTCGGTGCCCGGGCAGGCCAACGAGATCGTGTTGCTGGAGACCGGCCCCGACCCCATGGAGCTGCTCATTAATGACAAGGTGAGCCGACCCCAGGAACCCCCACTACACCACTCGGGGGTGCTGGCTGGCCTGGGCCCCCAACACGCGTGGCTCTCTCAATTCTATGTCTCAGCTTACTCTGCACACAGTAAAGACCGACCTTGTGTGTCAGGGGAGCCAACCCCTAACAAATCATCACAGGTCCCGTAGGCGCAAGTGTACAGCAATAATAAGCAAATATTATAGTAAAGTCGTAGACAATAAGGGAGATTGAAATAATGGAGTCAGACACATTTCACGGTAGCATGCTCACCTCAGCCCCGCTTGGTGGTCCACGTGGAGATGGGAGACCGTGAGGACAGGAGAGAGAGGGAGGGGAAGGAGGACAAGGGGAGAGGGGACAGGGGAGCGAGGACGGGGGAAAGCACTGCGGGGAGAGAGAGCTCTTTATTTCTAACCAAGGCTTATATACCTTGGGGGGCCGTGCAAGCCCCCTAATGACAGGTAAAGGTATAGGAAGGGGTTGTACTATAGGTAATACAGTAATGGGAGGGGGATGCTAGGAAGGGGAGGGATTAGGGGCACACATGTGACAAGATGGGCGGATCCCAGATTCAGGATGGCAGCCTGACTTTGGATGTCACTGAGCAGGTTTGACCTGGTGTCTGGCTCTCCATGGAAACAATTACTATGCTCATCAGTAGGGCGTGAGCCCCACCTACAGTGAACCAGATGCCTGCAGGGAGAATATCTCTAAGCATCTGACCTCCCACCATGTGCTGGCAAACAGCCTCTAATGTTTGGCATATCTTTGGGGGAGACAAAGCTGGGGAAAAGTCTTTTTATATCCCACACTGTGCCATGGGAGAAAGACGGGGCTCTCTAGTCCCATAATGAATGACTGTCTCAGAAACCCACAGGGGCAGTTCTATCCTGTCCTATAGGGTCGCTTTGAGTTGGCATCAACTCGATGGCAGTGAGTTTGGCTTGAGTTTTGGTGTGCCTGGTTCAGCTCGCTGTGGTCCTGGCCGCATCTACTCAGGGATTCCGTGTTGGTCCCATTTCCCAGATGAGGCGTGTGAGCCTCCCAGGCTTTAAGTGACTTCCCCAGCAGCCCAGCTACTAGCAGGGACTGGAGCGGCCTCTCTGAGGCCCCTGCTCATTTTCCTGGGCAAAGGGAGAAACAAGAACTTCCTGGGTTGGGGGACAGGGGGCAGGCAGAGAAAGAAGAGATGTTGGTGGACTGCTGGTCCTGCTACTCCCTGGGACTAGGCCCTCTGTCCTTGCCTGGTCAGGGAGAGAATGGTACGTGGCCGCGCTGCAGAGCCTGGGTGCTGATTCCACTACCCACTCTGTCCTCTTCCCTCCCTGTGCCTCAGTTTCCCATCTGTTAAACAGGACTGGCAGTGGGCTGTATCTCACAGACTGTGGTGCGTATACATGCTTTCATGGCCTCTAACGCACACGGCGCACATCGCCTATCGTGCAGTTCGTCACATGGAGAAGAGGGGTACAGGCATCACCCCCATCGGTTTTTAGAGCAGTTCCTCCTTGCTTGTTCTCACCGTGCTTGGTAAGCACTGCTTTCTGTGGATCGGGCATGGTTCACAGAGCAGAGCCGGTCCCATCCGGCAGTTCTGTGCTCCATGTCGATGGAGGGCAGGCCCCACAAGGTACCCTCGCTTCCCCGCTTCCTCCCTCTGTTTCCGTTTCTGCCCCTCCTCCTTTCCCAGCCCTTTCCGCCTTCTGAATGGACACATGCCGCCTCGGGACCTCAAAAGAGTGGATGATTCTGTGAGGCTCCCGGACCTCCCCCGTGCTATTCTTTCCCTTGTAGAGCTCTTGTGGCTGAAACGTGAGCCACAAGGGGGCAAGGAGTGTTTTCTGTTCCAAGCGTGAAGGGTGACGGAGGGCCACTGACTTGGGGGTTCCACCAGCCTCTGTCCATCCCGTTAGCCTGGCCTCTTGTGTGGTTTCGAGTTCTGTTCCACACCCCTCTCGCTCTCTAGCCAGGACCTTCCAGTGTTACCCTTTCAGAGCCTTTGGCGGTGGTAGCCGGGCACCACCCAGTTCTTCAGGTCTCAGGGTTGTGGAGACTGGTGTTCTCGTGACCCAGGAGCTCGTTGGACTCCTTGTGTCCGTATGTCTCCCCAGTGTCATCACTCACCATGCCTCTGGGCAGGGGCCAGGGAGAGAGACCAGTAGTTGCCCCTCACAAGCTTTGTAGACCCCAGCGGTGCCTCACCAAGGTAGGATGTAGACTTTGTGGATTCTGTTAGGCCACTTGATCTTGGTGCCTCCCCCACCCCCGACTATGCATCCGGTGCCCGCAGCCAGCGGCTGGTGATTTAAAGGCGTGTAAGGTAGCGAGCCTTGGTAAAAGTAAGCTAGTGCTATTACCCCAGGCTCTGCCCTAAGAGCACTTGGCTCACATTCCCACATGCCCCTTCCAATAGCCCTGGGTGTGGGCAGGGGCCAGTCTTACCTCTATTTCTTAGACAGGTTAGAGGGTGATCTGGGGCCTCAGGCTCCAGACCCAGCCTCTTGACCCCCAGTTGTTCTTCTGATAGGCCCCCCATCTTCCTTGGGCCCAGGACTCACTCCCTCGGTCTGGCTGTAAGGCAGGACAGGGACAGGCCTTGGGTGGGAGATGGTGTGATGATTGATGGGCTGAGGAAAGGCAAGCCCTCCCCTGCATTGCTTTAGGGCTTGAAGGTCAGGTCGTCTTTGGAGACCCCCTGTCCATGCAGACACTCTGCATGGTCCCCTGTGACCAGCCCACAGCCACTGGGAGTGGTTGACACGCAGATCGACAGGAGCTGCCCTTCCTGGCTGTCCTGGGGAGGAGATGGGCCCAGGGGTTAGTGAGCTTCTCATGTGGTCCTGAGAAGACCAGGGTAGCCAGCCACCTCTAGATCATGCAGCCTGCTCTCTTTGGCTGGCAGACTCCCCCGGGACCAAGATCAGAGCCCAGTGCCCTGTGGAGGGAAATCAGCACCCTGGACAGGTCAATGGGAGCCAGATCTGGGGAACCTTCTAAGGACCCTTTTGGGTACAACCTAGCAAGCTGCTCTGTGTGCCCCATCATTCCAGCCCTAGACCCTCGCTCATTCCACGCCCTCCCACTTGGTTGCCATCAAGTGGATTCTCGGTTTGTCCTTCAAGCCATCTTTAGACACCATGTCCGCTCTCCTCTCTTCCTCTGGGCCCCATAGCCTCTGAGTCTCTCACGTGGTGCCTGCATCATTTCCTCTTGTAAGGTTATCCCGGGTGCCCTGGTAACATAGTAGTTACACGTTGGGCTGCTGTCAGGTCAGAAGTTCAAAACCACCACCCGCTCCACAGAAGAAAGAAGGGGCTTTCTACACCCATAAAGAGTTTCAGTCTTGGAAACCCACAGGAGCAGTTCTGCCCTGTCCTGTGGGGCCACTATGAGCTGGCAAAGGAGCCCTGGTGGTGTGGTGGTTACACGTTTGGCTGCGATCCACAAGGTCTGCAGTTTGAAGCCAGCAATCAGCTCCTTGGGAGAAAGAGGAGGCTTTCTACTCCCATAAAGAGTTCCAGTCTCGGAAACCCGCAGGGGCAGCTCTCCCCTGCCCTACAGGGTTGCTGTGAGTTGGCATCGGTGCCCTGGCAGGGAGTTGGCAGTGGGGAGTCGTCATCTACTTATGGCAGTGAAGAGGGAACCGAAGGAGCAAAGGCTGGCCCTGAAGCCAACCCCCCCCTTGCAGACTCAGCTCATTGAAGGCTAAGCCCAGCTCCACCCCCCCATTCCACCCCCTCCCCACCCCCCAGTACCAAATAAGGCAGGAGAAAACGTTGTGCGATCTCCAAGAATTGACCAGACCAAAGAGCCCCTGGGAACGTCAAATCCACAGACAGGAGCACCGTCCATCTCACAAGCCAACTGTAATCAGTCACTGCAGGCTTCCCGGAGGAGCCACAATGGGAAAGATCTGGAGGCGGAGTGTGAGCTCCTGATGGATTAGCCATGTCTACCTGGGTCAGAGGAGGCGGCAGTGGCTGTGTATTTGCCACCCTTGGTCTGACTGCCTCCCATTTCAGATGAGGAAACTGAGGGCCAGAGACAAAAATCCGCCTCCATGCCCACATCACCCTCCCTCTCCCAGTGGGGGGATGGCAGGACCAAGATCTGGATGACCTTGAGCCTTGGCTGTGAGCTGGCCACTGAGCAGACACAGCTCCTACCCCGGGAGCCTTGGGGTCTGGGAAAGAGAAATGAGCCCCCTAGAAGCCACTATAACCATGACTTTCCCTGGGACCTGGGCAAGGTCACTTGGTTAGGCCAGCGGGACCTGGAGGGGAAGGCGATCAGGGAAGGCCCCTGGGCAGGAAGGAGGGGGGCAAGGCAGGCGAGCCTTGATCAGCCCCTGAAAAAAGGGCCAGAGCAGCCCCCCGCTGCCACATACAGCACCTCTGACCTGGCGTTGGGGGCTTGTGTCCAGGTGGCCCAGCTGCCCCTGAGCCTGAAGGACAGTGGCTGGCACCACATCTGCATTGCCTGGACCACGAGGGACGGCCTGTGGTCAGCCTACCAGGATGGCGAGCTGCGGGGCTCTGGCGAGAACCTGGCCTCCTGGCATCCCATCAAGCCTCACGGGATCCTCATCCTGGGCCAAGAGCAGGTGAGGCGGGAGCTCCCCAGGGGTCCCAGGGGAGGGTGGCTGGGCGGAGGGAACCAGAAAGCACAGTGGGGCTCGCAGCTGTGATCTGGCCATTCCACGGATGTGCAGACCGGGGAGCGGAGACTGGTGGAGCAGAGACCAGGAGGCGGGGCTGTGGCGGGGCTGGGGGTGGCCTGTCTCCCTCACTCCATTTCCGTTCCCTGCTGTCTGTGGCCAGGACACCCTCGGCGGCCGGTTCGATGCTACGCAGGCCTTCGTGGGTGACATCACCCAGTTTAACCTGTGGGACCACGCCCTGACTGCGGCCCAGGTCCTGGGCATTGCCAACTGCAGCGAGCCACTGCCAGGCAACGTCCTCCACTGGGAAGACAAGCTGGTGGAGGCCTTCGGGGGGGCCACCAAGGCCACCTTCGACATCTGCAAGGGCAGCGCCAAGGCATGAGGAGCCACCTCGTGCAGGCCCCGCCCCTGCCTGCCACTTTGGGGATGCAGTGGGTGTGTCCCCATAAACCTCTGTCCCCATCCCGACCCTCTCATCCCCTCCAGAATGCCCTGCAGTGGGTGTCCCCCCTCCCGGATGGGGTGACAGCTCCAATCACCAGGTCAAACCCCAGGCGATGCAGGACTGGACGGCGGGGGCGGGGATGGGAGTAGCAATGTCCACAGCTGGAATTCTCTCTTGCCCTGCCCCGGCTCTGCCCTGTCCATCCCCTTTGATCCATCTCTCTCGATAGCGCCACCTGGGGGCTGGGTGGGGGAAGGACCCCCAATCTCATGTCAGGGTAGCTGTCTACCACTCCGCACCACGCAGGCCTGGCGCCTCCCCCTTGAGGCCCACTCAGGCTGGGCACGGTTGGGGGGAGTGCTCAGACTCACCCCATACCCTCTTTCCTCCCAGGACATCATCCGGACCAGCCTGAACCCTCCCTCTCTTCTTCCTCCCTCCCTTTCCCTCCTCAGTCATCATCGGCTCATGTGACTTTGTCTGAATGTGGGTTCCTTCCCTGGCCCCGCCCCGCCCCCCTTGGGCTCACTCACACACAGCTTTGCCCACGGGCACGGCCACCCCTACCCTCGGGCCTAGGCTGCTTCTGCTTGAGCAGGGCCAGCTGGAAGCAGAGGTGCCATGCCAAGGGGAGCCGCCTCTTGGGGTGGGGGTGGAGGCGGAGCTGAGAGTAGTAGAAGGGAGGGTGGTAGCAGAGGGTCTGTCACAGGGGAGCAGGGTCTCTGTGTAGCCTGCAGGGAGGCCCTGCCCTCTCGGGGCCTGGCCTTTCTCGCCAGTGAGCGGAGGCCCTGACTTGAGTCAGTTCTAGAAGCTTCTTCAGACTGAATGTAAGATGATCTGTGATTCTAAAGGCAAAGGGTGAGGCAAGGCCAGGCCCGGGAGCCAAGGAAGGGTGGAAGTTGAGAGTGGGCAGCAGATGGGACCAGCATACCGGTCAGGGTCAGGGTCGGAGATGACTCCAAAAGGTCAAGGGCAAGGTTCAAGGCAAGTCAAGGTCATCTCCCTTTGGGTCCCTGGTCTGGCACCCTTGCCTGACTGAGGCTCTCAAAGGCTTGGTGGCTTCTAGGTCTCCATCCTTGAACCAAGACCCTAGGGCCTTGCCAGAGCTGAGGTGGGCTGCCCGCTCGGGCCCCCTGCTTGAACAGATGGGCAACCGCTCCAAGAGGGCAAGCCGCCTGCATGGGACCACATAGCACTGGGAGGCGGGCAGGACTAGAACACAGGCCTCTGACTCCCACGCCGGAGTGCCCGTCTTCAAGGGCCTGTGGGTCCAGCCCACAGCAGAGAGGCAGGGGCAGGGATGAATGGGGGGGTGAGGGTCAAGAGGCTTCCCAGAAGGCCACACTCAGACAGATGGGCTCCCAGAGGTAAGGGGAGGAGGGCAAGATCCCTGAGCTTCCAGGCGAGAATAGAGGGCTGAGAACACAGGTGTCTAGCACCTCCCAGGTGCCCTGGCAGCTGCAGACTACCCATCCCATCTCTGCTCCCCTGGCCACTTAGCCAGAGGCCTGAGGCCCAGGCTGTGGGCTGCGGGGCCTGAGGGTGAGGAAGCTTCCCCAGGGTGTGTGGCCTCCAGCCCCTAGCTCCATGTTTCCATTTTAAGAGCACAAATAGATTATTCAGCACCTCCAGCCCATCTCCCCCTGGAAAAAGGAGTGACGGATGGTGCACTGAGCCAGAACCTGCCGAGATCTCGGTTGCTCTGGTAACAGCCAATGACATCGGCCCAAGGGCTGGGTCAGGTGTCTCATCCATCAGGATGCCTGCTGTTGCTGGGGTGACAGCAGACTTCGGAGCTTAGGTTTGGGGGTGCCGGGCTGTTGGGTTTCTGTTGCCCTGTTTAGGGAGGCAGCATTGCAGGGGGCCGTGGAGGGAGGAAAGGCCCTCGGGAGGGAGGTGGTAGGACTTGTCTGGTCCCTTGAGCCCCCTTACCCTCTGTGCTTCGACTTGGTGATGATAAGGTCACTGGTCAGCCCTCTGGAGGGACCAGATGGGGACGTTGGGTGCAGGCTCTGAGTCTGGGTCTTTGCGGAGGGACCTGGGGCCCCAGGTCCACTCCAGGAAGCTGAAAACCCAAAGTCCACACCAGCACTCCGTCTGTTAATCCAGCATCTGCTGGCTGGACTCTCCCGGAGGTTCAGGTGGGTTTTTCGGCCGCCCTGGCAGATCCAAGTCAGTTGCACTAAAGGGGCTAGAAGCCACGTCTCTCGGCTACTCCTGGTGAACATTGGTCACCATTGTGACCACATCGCTCACAGCCATGTTCGTCAGTGTCAGACCAGGACACTAGCTTGCTTATATTCTCGAGACAGTGATAAGTTAGGGCTACTCCAGCTCCCTTACACAGGTGAGGATGCTTGGGCCCAGAGAGGTTGGGTCACTACCTGGCCCGGTGTTGATCTGCCCGAAAGTGGTGAAGCCTGGACTTCAAACCAGGGCACCTTCCATGCAGAGCCCACCCTTCTGCCCAAGGGGACAGGCGCCCCCCATTCTAGGTGGACTTTGGGCACCCTCTCTGCTCCCAGAAGATAAGGCCTGACTCCACGAATGAGGCCAACCACGTGGAGCCTAAAGGGAAGGAAGTTGGTGTGTTTACCAATAGCCCCCCCACCCCCAGCCCCCAGAAGGGAAGGGAAGAAAGGACGCTGTCTGCTTTTCTACCCCTGCTGTGGGCCGCACCCCTGCACCCGGTGCTTCTCAGCTGTTACCTGCCAGGTCCCCACCTCCAACCCAAAACATGGGTCTCCTCACTACACCTGTGCATGACCTAGGGCCACAGGCTTGGGAAGGGAGACCAAAGCCCCATTTGTCAGATGCAGAAACTGAGGCAAGGAGGGAGGCCGCACAGCTGGAGCAGAGAGGAGACTCTATATGAGGTCAATGGTCAGGGGGATGAGCTCTTCTCCAGGAATGGGGTTTCCCCTTTCCAGGTCCCCACCCTGAGGACACTGGGAAGGGCCTCTCCCAGAGATGCCATCACGTCTTCACTCCCCTCCTCCCAGCTGCCTGCGACCATCCATGCCCATCCTGCTGGGTGGGGAAGGGGCTCAGGGGGCCCAGGCCGGGCAGTGAGCAAGCATGTCGTGTCACCTGACACTGAGTCAGTGACCCCTCCTGAGGCCTCCCAGCCCTTCCCCTCCGCCCCCCCGCTCCCCGATTTTGTCCATAAAGTGATCTGAGATGCTGGGACATATGTGTGTGTGTGTGTATGTGTGGTACAAGTCATGGGTTTTGTTACGTTTTTTTCGTTTTTGTAAACTTGAATGTTCAAAATAAACATGATGTTAGTAAACATGGTGTGTCCGCCCAGACTTTTCCTGGCAGAAGTTGGGCCACCCTGGCGGGGCTGGGTAGGAGCGAGGTGACGGCTCTGGGCAGGGCAGTGGGCAAAAGCAGACGAGGGGGTGCCTCTGAACATCCTCATAGCCTCATCGAACCCCCATACACTCTCCGCCAGCTGACGGGTCTGCCTGTCCCAGGTGCAGACACCCAGTACCCCGGGGCCTACTGAGAAGGATGTTCAGAATCCAGGTCCCTCGTGGAGCATGACCCAGTTCTGATAATTGGGCTTTGACCTCATTCCGAACACACCATCCCCATCTTGTGCCCCAGTTCTGGAAACAGGGTCCCTTCCTCATTCCCTGGGACCCAATATGTCTGGGATGTGTGCCTGCCTGCTCCCTATTTCCAGGAACCACCTCTTTTGGGGGGTCCTGGGGAGATGAAGAAGAATAGAGGGTATTCCAGCTTCCTCCCCTTTTCCATGGTCTAAGTGGCCTCCCCTGACCCTGTTGACCTCACCAGGGGGCTCTCCTGGTCAGCCTCAGGATCCACCACCCTCAACACCTGCAGTGCCCACCCTGTCCTTGGGAAGGTCTACCCCAGGCCCCCATCCACACCATCTTGGGGTCTGAAGCCTGCATTCTTACTCTTATCAATGCCACTCCTGCTGGTGGTGGGACCTCAACCCCAGATGGCCCTGGGAAAGGACTGGGGGGCGGGGCAACTGGAGTCAAGGAATGGGTCGGGTCCCGCCAGGAGGTCAGACCTTCCAGGTTTTTCCAAAGCTTTCCAGGCTTCCAGTAAGAATGAGCCTGCCTCCTGTAGACCAAGAGATAGAGCTCGAAGCCATCCTGCAATCGGGGTGGGGGGTGGGGAGCATGTACTTGATGTCAGCTGAATTCTCTGAAGAATCCATGCACTTCCCCCACCCCACCCCCCACTCGACTTCAGAATGAATCCAGAATTATTTTAAAACAAAGATTTTTTTTTTAAGTTCTTGCCACCAGACAAAATTAAACTGCAGGCAGCCACGCCTTCCGCGTCAGGGACCCGGTGCCGCTGTTACAGAAATATCCCACGTGGATGGCTTCGGCAAGCTGACGCGTGTCTGCTCACAGGTCCGTTCTGACTCACAGCAGCAGGCGTGCACCAGGACAGAACACTGCCCGCTCCTGCACCAGCCTCCCAAGTTCTCTTGTTTGAACCTTGCAGCCGCGGTGTGGCTCCCCCTGGTCAAGGGACTTCCTGTTTCATGGGCTGCCCTGAGACTTTCCCAGCAGGGTGTCCTTCCTGAAGGACTGGGCGCCCTGACAGCACGGCCAACGGACCAGAATCCGAGGCTCCCATCCTCCCTTCCGAGGAGCGCCCTGGCCGTGCTTCCTCCAAGGAGGTCTTGCGCAGCAGGTGGACCCAATGCAGTGTGTTGTTGGATGCTGCGACTGCCGTTTCCATGGGCACCGATGGTGGGTCCAAGCAAGACGAAATCGTAACAACTTCCATCTTTTCGCCGTTGATCATGACGTTCACCTCGTGGTCCAGTTGTGAGGATTCTGGTCTTCTACACGTTGCGTTCTAATCCACACTGGAGGCTGAAATCTCTGTTCCTCACCAGCAAGCGCTTCAAGTCCTCCCCTCCTGAAGGCAGCGTGCAAGGTGGCGCGGTCTGCATCTCGCTGCTTGTTAATACGACATCCTCCAATCCGGCCACCACACTCTTCTTCCTAGAAGCCAGCTTCTCTGCTGATTTGCATACGTGCAGATTGAACAAGTATGGTGAGAAAATACAACCCAGACACACACTCTTCTGGATGTGAAACCAGGCAACAGCCCCTTGATCTGTGGGAGCACCTGCCTCTTGGTCCACGTTTGGGATCCGTGTCCAATGAAGTGTTCGGGAGACTAGCAAGTCCGAGTTCAGGGCATCAGTTCCGGAAAGTCTCCCCCGCTGTCGGCCCAGGGAAGGTCTGTCATCTCTTTTCTGCTGGGAACCTGGGCCCCTGGCTGATCGTGCCGCGTGGCACCTGTCTTCCCCAGCGTGGCTGGCTCCATCCGGGCTTTAATATTGCAAAAGAAAATGACTTCAAACCCACAGTCCACACATACTGGCACACAACATAACAAAGAAAACCCACTCCCAAGTAGGACCAGTCCCACACCTACAGGGTCTCTGTGAGTCAGAATTGACTCAGTGACAGTTTGGTTTTTGAATAGGGGTTAGCATTTACAACACATTTTAGTGATTAGCATTTATAAAACAAAAAAACACGCTCACCGCCATTGAGTTGATGCCGACTCATAGGAACCGTGTAGGATAAGGTAGATGTGTCTCTGTGAGGTCCTGAGACTGACTGCTTATAGGAGTAGAAAGTCCCAGCTTGTTCCCAAGGAGCAGCTGGTGACTTTAATCTGTAACCCTCGGCGGTCACAGTCCAATGCATAACCACTACGCCACGAGGGTTCCTCACTGGGGACACAATTCAATCCACAACATGCCCGTTATCCTCCCCTGTCCTGGCTGACTGCCAAACTCTTTCTCTCCCTCTGACCCCCTCGACTGACTGTGTGCAGCCTGGCCAAACGCAGCCGTCCCGCTACCCAGCTGTAGCCACACCTGCACAACTGACAGAAGAGGACAAGCCCCGCGTTCCGGCTTGTGTGGACTGCCTTGTCTTAAGTTCTCTGCCCAAGGGCTGCCTCCCTTCCCTGCCACTTTCCCACGGGCCCCTCTGCAAGGTGGCTCTTTAAGACCGTGGCTCTTCTCAAGTCCCCTACAGCCCACCACCCCAGCCTTGCACACTCAGGCGCAGTGAGAAAACTGCTGCCTCTCGTCACTTCACCACCAAGTCTGTCTGCAAGTCCAGCATCCTCCCCTACTCGCCCGCCCCCTGCCCCATGGCCTCTGGCTTCCACCCTGCCTCTCAGAATGACCCCATTGGCTCACCTCAGTCCATATCCCGCTTTCCCATTGGCCTTTATTCTTGGATCCTAATGGGCCCTTATTCCAACTCAATGATAGGTCACCTCGTTGTGTTAGTCCCAGTAGACTAGAGAAACAAATTCAGGTAGACTCGTGTAGAAGAAAGAGATTCATATACAAGAGCAATTGAATATAGAAAATATCCCAGTCCAGTCCAGATTAAATTCATAAATCCAATGTTAGTACATATGTCCAATCTATAAATTCCTCTTCAAACTCACGAAACACATGCAATGATGCTGAATGCAGGAAGATTACAGGCTAGTGGGTTGGAATTCTTGTGGATCCAGGGGCGTTGTAAGCATCTCAGAGCTGGCAGCGGGTCTCCATGTGGCTTCTCCAGCTCCCGAGGTCTGGATCCTTCAGCCTCTCTCCATGTGTCTTCTCCGCAGGGATGTCTCGCAGGGAGTGAGCCTTGTCAGTAGAGAGTCTCCAAGGGAGTGAGCAGAGAGAGTCTCCCTGCCTCCAAGGAGGAAAAACAGGAGTTCCCAGAATCCTCAGGAGAAAGCCACGCCCACAGAGGCCTCGTTGGCTAGATCTTGATTGACAGGCCAGACTCCTCCCCTTCACTCAATCCACTCACATTGACAAGTGATGCTATAACTACCACGCTCATGCACCACATTATCCTGGGAGGCACTGGTGGGATAAGCCCTCCAAGCCTCCGGTGGACTGGGTCATGTGAGGCAGTTTAGGATGGGTCATTCCGACCTCTGGCTGACCCACCCCTACTTCAGAGCATCCCTCCTGACTTGTCGGCTTCCAGGACACCAGGCCTGGTCAAGAAGGGGGCAGTGAAAAAGAGGAAGGCCCTGGACAGAGAAGCCCTAACAATGAGGTCAAACCCAGAACACGAGTGAGGAGGAGAGTGCAGGAGCGGGCAGTGTCTCCTTTGGGCCATCGGGCGCTGTGCGTTGGAACCAACTGGAGAGCACCTGAGACGACCACCACCACCCCTGGTCGTTTGCATGAAGACGGAAGGATGCCCCGCGTCTTCCCCCTTAAGCAAAGCCCCTCCCTGCGTTCCTCTCGTCCTCCGGCCGGCACTCGCCTCTTTGCTCCCGTCACTCAAACGCTTCCCGGGAAAGCAAGTGTGTGAGGCTTCCCCAGACCACAGTCAGGCTGGATGGTCCTTCAGAAGAGCTCAGAAAAGTGATGCTATTTGTGGCTCCAGTGCGCCACAGCGGCAGGAGAACGATTAAAACCCACAAAGGTAGAGTCCAGAGAGACCAGGTGTGGGGACCAGCCTCCACACCCAGATGGGTCCTTGTGTAATAGAGGGGTAAATGAAAGAAACATCAGACAAGACATGCAAGGACTCAGCTCTTCCGATGGAGACCGGAACCAGAGAATGGGGCGAATGGATTCTCCCACGGGCAAGCCACGTCACACACATACGTAACAGGAAGGGGTTGTATTAGAGGCATGCACCTAGCAGGAAGGGACTAGCTAGGGCAGTGGTTCTCAACCTGTGGGTCGCAACCTCTTTGGGGGTCGAACAACCCTTTCACTGGGGTCGCCTAAGATAAGGTGACCAGATGTCCTGCTTTTGGCGGGACAGCCCCGATTTTTAACAAATTTTCCCACGTCCTGCGGCGTTTTAAAAAAGTCCCAATTTTTGGAGAGAATGCACGACAAGCTAGGGTATACGGTTTTCGGCTGCCATGTGGCTATTTCGGCAGGATTTGAGTTTTATCAATGGTGTCCCGCTTTACCAATGTTAAAATCTGGCCACGTTAGCCTAAGAGCATATTTGCAATGGTTTGAGGAACTGAGACACCGTTCCTCTGTCTCCAGGCGGGCCCACACACACACAGATATGCCCACTTACGGGGGCCCCACAACATGAGGAACTGTATTAAAGGGTCATGGCATGAGGAAGGTTGAGAGCCACTGAGCTAGGGGGATACACACACTAGGAAGGGGCAGTACTAGAGGCATACATGTGACAGGAAAGTACATACTGGACTTAATAAGATGGAAGGGTTCTAGAATTAAAATGGCGGCCTAACCTTGGTCCTCTCTGACCTCGC